CCCCGCGCGCGCCCCCCGGCTCTCCCCACCGGCCTTGGCTTTGGGAAAATCCGCGACCCTGGGGGCGGGGCCCCGAGGCATTGGCCAATGAGCGTCAGGAGAGTGGGCGGGCTCGTACGCCCGGAGAATGACAGACACGCGTCCCAGCCAGCAGGAATGGGAGATGGGCCTGAGTGGCGGGGAGCGCGTCCAATGGCTGCTCTCTCTCTGGTTGTCTTGGTTGGAGCGGGCCATTCACAGGCGTGGGGCCGGGCCTGGCCGCCGCTTGTTGTTGTCCGGCTGGGGGAGGCGGAGGTCGCTGGTTCGCTTGCTGGCGGGTGTGATCGGTAGCGGCCCGCGGCAAGGTGGTCGCGAGAGCGGGCGCGGTGCAGGGGGACGAGGCTATGTCGCGGTGGCAGCCCGGAGGGGCCGGCAGGGCCGGGAGTAACGGGACGTCGCTGCGGAGCTTCTTCCCCCGGATACAGCGCGGCCCGAGCGGAGGCCGCGGCGCCGCCCTGCGGTCCTGAGGAGCTCGCGCCGCGCCGAGACCGTCCCGCCTTCTCCGCGGCCCCGTCGCCCGGCGATCGGGCCGGCCCAGCCCTATCCGGCCCAGCCCAAGCAGGTGGGTGTCCACTCGGTCCCGCGCCGTCTCGGGCTGTCGGAACCACAGCCCCCGGCAGGCCTCGCGCCGGCGCGCTGCCTCTTGGGACTTGTAGTTTCGTCACGGCCCGATGGGATCCTGTGACCCCCGCGAACTGGTTCCCGGGATTTGTAGTTCCTTCGCGCTTTGGCCAGTGCCCCTTGTCCGGCTGGTAGACCCAGCAGCGAGCAGGTGGAGCCCGGCCCTCCCACCGCTCTTCCGGGTCTGAGGGACCTAGGCGCCTTGCAGTAGAACAGAGAAGCTTGCGGTTCTCTCCCCCTTTTGCCAAGAGCAGCCCCTAGAACAGGGGGGAGCGCCCACCCGTCCAGGGGCCGCCGTGCCCGCTCCCGGTGCCAGTTCCTGAAGCAGAATGCGGCCTCTCACCCTGGCCCGCCGCCCGCCGCTTGTTGGTGGCATGGTTCTCTTCTTCCTGGGTGGAGGCGAGGGCTAGGTTGGGGCGCAGCCTGGCGCGCAGGCTCGCGAGGTGGCGGAGGTGTGGTTGAGATGGAGCCTGGACTTGCCACCTTCAGGTCATGGAATCTCATCTCCTCCTTGCCAGCTGAGTGTTTGGCAGGTAGGGAAAGGAGAAGAGCGGTGTGAAGCCTGGTCTCAGGCCAGACCCGATGCACAGGGCTCAGCTGGCAGGGTAGACACCCATGGCTTGGCTTCCCACATCCTCAGGCAGCGCTCCTTGCTCAGAAGCACAGCTCCTCTCCAAGGACATGAAGCTGTTGGAAAACTCCAGCTTCGAGGCCATCAACTCACAGCTGACTGTGGAGACTGGAGACGCCCACATCATTGGCAGGTGAGGGAAGCTCCAGGGGTTGGCGTCTCAGAGGTCATTGCTCTGGCCTCTGGGTAGAGAATGCGTCATGGTTCTGCTTGCTACTCACAGGATTGAAAGCTACTCATGTAAGATGGCCGGAGACGATAAACACATGTTCAAGCAGTTCTGCCAGGAAGGCCAGCCCCACGTGCTGGAGGCGCTGTCCCCACCACAGACGTCTGGCCTTAGCCCGAGCAGGTGAGCTGAGGTGGGGTCTGCCCTGTCAGAGTTGTGTGGGATGGTGGGCTAGGCTGATGGTTTGTCTCTGAGCAGACTGAGCAAGAGTCAAGGAGGTGAAGATGACAGCCCCCTCAGCGACAAGTGCAGCCGCAAGACCCTCTTCTACCTGATCGCTACGCTCAACGAGTCCTTCCGGCCCGACTATGACTTCAGCGCAGCCCGAAGCCATGAGTTCAGCCGGGAGCCCAGTCTGAGCTGGGTAAGGGTTGTATGAAGGGGCCTCTGCCCACCCTCACTTTCTGTGGTTCCTGGGCTCCAGCTAGTCCATCCCTGCTGTCCTGGACCCTGGTCAGCCCAACTGTGTCCTGTCCTAGGTGGTCAATGCAGTCAACTGCAGCCTGTTCTCCGCTGTTCGGGAGGATTTCAAGGCCCTCAAGCCACAGCTGTGGAATGCAGTGGATGAGGAGATCTGCCTTGCTGAGTGTGACATTTACAGGTGTGCTGGCGTCTGCAGATGCTCCCCCAGGTCAGTGTGAGACCCTGGGGTCCTCACACTGCTGTTCTTCACACCCCTCAGCTATAACCCAGACCTGGACTCGGACCCTTTTGGGGAAGATGGTAGCCTCTGGTCCTTCAACTATTTCTTCTACAACAAGCGGCTCAAGCGAATCGTCTTCTTCAGCTGCCGCTCCATCAGGTTGGTATTACCTACCCCCTCCCCAGCTCCTGGTTAGGCCCAAGCCATTCTTCACCCATGCCCATCTGCTCTCAGCGTTACTCTGCCCAGCGTCCTTGGCAGTATAAGTCCAGCAGCAGGCCTGGGAGGGGTGGTCCTGAGACCGATTTCTCCAACCCCCACCCAGTGGTTCCACGTACACGCCCTCGGAGGCAGGCAACACACTGGACATGGAACTAGGAGAGGAAGAAAGCGGAGGCAGAGGCAGTGAGGTTGGAGCCGAGGAGACCAACACCATGGAAGAGGACAGGTGTGTGACAGTAGTGGTGGCTCCAGTCCCAGGAGCCTGGGGGGGGGGGGTGTTGGGACAGGTCAGGTGCCCCTCTGCCTGATCTCCTGGGGGGGGGGAGTTGGGACAAGTCAGGTGCCCCTCTGCCTGATCTCCTGGGGGGGGTAGTTGGGACAGGTCAGGTGCCCCTCTGCCTGATCTCCTGGGTGGTAGCTCCTTAAGGCCTGCTGTGTGCCTACCTCTGCCCAGGGTCCCGGTGATGTGCATGTGACCAGGAGCCGCGGAGGTCCCAGCTTCATCCAGCTTCAACCAGTACCTGGACCTGCTCACCTGAGGGCTGCCAGGGTCTGCCCTGCTGCTGGCCGTACCCTGGAACTGCCAGTTCTGGCACTGCCCAAGGCCACACCTGCCTAGCCTTTTGGCTCCAGCCTGTGGATGTCCACTCACCCCCCCACACACACACACACAGGCTCCTACTGCCCATGCTGTGACTGGACTAGACTGAGCAGGGCCTGGTGGGAAAAGTGACCACCCGCCCAAACAGACTGCCACAGGCAGGGACAGCTGGACCACAGAGTTTATTTTTGTATTTCCTACTGGGCCTGTACACTCCAGCTCCAAGGGACCCTGGTGCCTGCCTGCCCCCACCTCGCCTGGTGGGCCACGTGCACTGAGTGTCACTTTGCTGCAGCTCATCTGTTTCCAATAAAAGTTTCTGTGACTCCACTGTGGACCTGGATGCTGTGGGGGCGGGGCCTGCGGGGGGCGGGGCCTGCGGAGGGGCGGGGCTGCGGCATCGGTGTCCTAGCAACTGCCCGGGCCTCGAGGCCTGTAAGTCCCAACAGCTGTTGGGCGCCTACGTCCAGCGGCGGCGGAAATGGAGGCAGAATCGTTGGACACAAGCCGTAGCTATAAAGCGGAAGTTGGCGATCTGATCCCGGACACAGACTTGTATGATGAGGACGTCTACGATGTCCCAGTCGCTGGGCTTCTCTCCGAAAAGAGCGGTGAGGGGACCGGCCTGCGCGGGGGCGCACGCAGCCCGGGCAGCCGTCCAGGCGGCGGCCAGCGGAGGCCCCGGCTGGCCTCGGGGCGGGCCGGCCGGCCTCGGTGACGGCTGCCCCCGCTGCCCGCAGAGTCCTGGTCCTCGGAGCCCGGGGTTCCGCAGCTCCGCCTCAGGAGCCGGCCAGGTCGGGCCCGGTCCCTGCGCGCCCGCCACCTGTGGCTGACCCTGCGCGCACAGCTCCACAAAGCGGTGGAAAAGGTGCGTGGGCCGGCCTGCACGGGGGGCCTCCCCCCCGGGCTCCCCCCGCGTCCCTCGGGCTCCCCCCGGGCTCCCCCGGCCCGGCCGCCCTCTGACGGCCGCTCTGCCGCTCTGGCCCCAGGAGAAGAAGGAGGAGATGCAGGTCGCTCGCCTGGCGCACGGGCTGGAGCCGCTGCGCCACCTGGAGGTGGCGGCCGGGCTGTGCTCCGTGGCTCAGGACAAGGCGGCCCAGCGCTTCGTGGTGCTGGACCGCGCCGGCTGGCTGCACCTGCACACCAGGGACGGCTGGGCGCAGGGGAAGCTGCAGGCCCCCGTGCCGCTGGCGGGGCTGGTGGCAGTGCCCCCCCCTCTGGGCGCAGTGGGCCGCTTCATAGGCTGGGGCCCGGCTGCGCTGGCCATCCTGAGGCCGGACCTCAGCCTGCTGTGGCTGAGCCACTCACACGTGGACGGGGCGCTGGGCAGTGAGCCCACCTGCTGCCTGCCAGTGCCCAGACTTGGGCTGCTGCTGGTGGTTGAGGTGGGCGGCAGCCTGACACTGTGGAAGTTCCGCTCGGGGGGCCGCCGCCTGGTGCCTCACAGGTTGCCCCTGCAGCTGCCGCAGAGGCTGAGCCAGACATTCAGGCGTCTGGCTCTGGGGCCGCCGGACCTCCACAGCCAGTACTGCTTCGCGGCCTATGGCTCCACGGTGCTCACCTTTGATCTGGACGCCTGGGCTCTGGTCAATGTGTGCCAGAATCTTCACAAAACGTGAGCAAAACTAGGGCACGGAGGGACTTCAGACAGGTCCTCTGAGGAGAGCCAGTGGGGAACACACGAGGCCTACGCTGCGTCCACACAGCCGCTCCATCTCCCTCACCCCTAGAACCATCTTGGACCTGGTTTACTGCAAGGAGATACGGGCTGTGGTGACTGCCTCCCGGGACAGCACAGTGAAGGTGTGGGAGGCGGACTGGCAGATCCGGATGGTGTTCGTGGGTCACACAGGTGCGCCAGATGCTGGCAGCTCTGGTGGTGCCTTCTCTCCACACCCGTACACACCTCTTGGAGTCCTCTGGGCTGTCTAGGCCCTCCGCCGGCCAGGCTGTGTGTGTATGTGCACGTGGACTGCATGCATGCACATGTGTGTGCTGCTTCCCGGGCACACAGCTCCCTCTCCCTTGGTCCTTGCTATGTCCAGCTTGTCTCCTGCAGGCCCAGTCACGGCTATGGCCCTGCTGCCAAACACCAGCCTGCTGCTGTCGGCCTCGCAGGACAGGACGCTGCGGACGTGGAACCTGCAGACTGCAGAGCAGGTGGGCGAGGTGGCGCTGGACCACTGGGGCCGGGAGGAGCACGCAGAGCCGGCCGACTGCCTGCTGCCGCCCGTGGGTCCTGGCTGGCCGGTGCTCTCGCTGTGCTCCACCGGCGTGGACCTGTGGATCCTCCGCCACCTCTACTCGCCCTTGGCGCAGCTGCCTGCACCGGTGCTCCACCTGCAGGTGGCACCCACGCTGCCCGCCCCGTCTCAGCCGCCCCTGCCCATGCGCTTGGTGTGTGCCTGCGCCGACGGGTCGGTGTGCCTGGTGTCGGTGGTGACCGGGAGGATGGTGAGCGCCCTGCCGCTGGGGCCCGAGGACCGCGCGGCCGCCGTGGCCTACTGCCTGCCGCGGGAGGCGCTGTGGCTGCTGACGCATGATGGGCACCTGATCCGCGCCAACGCGGCCCGCAGCCCAATGGAGGTGCTGCACCGGCACCACCCGCCGCCGCTGCCCGCGCCGCAGCCCTGCGCCCTGCACCTCTACAGCCACCTCCTGGATGCGGCCGGCGCCGCCACCTGCTGGGAGACTGTGCGCCAGCACCGGGGGGACATGAGCTGCGGGGCCGTCACCTGGGCCTGGAAGAACAAGAACAGGTGGGAGCGCATGCCGTGGAGGGCCGTGGAGGGCTGGGCCAGGCTGTGGAGGGCTGTGGAGGGCTGGGCCAGGCTGTGGAGGGCCGTGGAAGGCCGTGGAGGGCCGTGGAGGGCCGTGGAGGGCCGTGGAGGGCTGGGCCAGGCTGTGGAGGGCCGTGGAGGGCCGTGGAGGGCCGTGGAGGGCCGGGCCAGGCCGTGGAGGGCCATGGAAGGCCGTGGAGGGCCGGGCCAGGCCGTGGAGGGCCGTGGAGGGCCGTGGAGGGCTGTGGAGGGCCGTGGAGGGCCGTGGAGGGCTGTGGAGGGCTGTGGGGGGCCGTGGAGGGCCGGGCCAGGCCGTGGAGGGCTGTGGAGGGCCATGGAAGGCCGTGGAGGGCCGTGGAGGGCCATGGAAGGCCGTGGAGAGCTGTGGAGGGCCGTGGAGGGCCGTGGAGGGCCGTGGAGGGCCGTGGAGGGCCGTGGAGGGCTGTGGGGGGCCGTGGAGGGCTGTGGAGGGCCGGGCCAGGCCGTGGAGGGCCGTGGAGGGCCGTGGAGGGCCGTGGAGGGCCGTGGAGGGCCGTGGAGGGCTGTGGAGGGCCGTGGAGGGCTGTGGAGGGCTGGGCCAGGCCGTGGAGGGCTGTGGAGGGCCATGGAAGGCCGTGGAGGGCCGTGGAGGGCCGTGGAGGGCC